CACACACACACACACACACACACACACACACACACACACACACACACACACACACACACACACACACACACACACACACCAGTCTCCCTCAAAAACAGTGTAACTATGACCCCAGACTGAGGCGGTCCCTTTCAGATTCTCTCAACCGGCCGCAGGAGGGACGGTGGCTTCATTTGATGAAAATGACACCCAAACTATCATTGGGCGGTTTTAATCATGTGACGAGCAGCACAGTCTAATTCCAAGTATGTCTCCATGAAATCCCTACTTCATGGCGCGGAGATCTCCACAGCACTGCCAGGTTAAACCTCGTGTTAATCCCCGATCCCTTATTTAAACGTCGTGCCTGCGCGTCTTCTCCAGAACCAGAAGCAGGAGGACATGAATTACGAATTCGGGCGTGAGAGCGGTTTCATCAACAGCCGACCGTCGCTCGCTGAGTGCCTGACATCTCTCACTAACCCCGCCGGAGAAGCCTTTCAAAGTCCATCAATCAAGAGCTCCACACCGATTCCTCCTCCTCCTCCTACCCCCTTCGAGCAGACCATCCCCGACCTGAAGCCCACCGTCCACCCACGTTGCAAACGGGCATTGAAAGCGCACAGTCCGCTGCAGGCTGCACCTCTGCTCACCGAGTATCCGTGGATGAAGGAGAAGAAAAGCATCAAGAGGAGCCAGGCTACTGCTTCTTCAGCCGCTGCAGCAGGCTCTGACCTCTCTCCCCAAGGCAAGACAGGATGATTAATAACCCTCAGCCTAAAAAGGCTCCTCTTAGTCTCCGCTCAGAGCCGCATGGATCATGCGCATCCTTCCTAGACGCACCAAAGCTTTTGATTTAAGCTTGTTTAATGTAATCGAACAGCGCACTGACTTGCGATGCAACGTCAGAGCGCTAATGTTTGACAGTAATAGAAAGTGATAGATTACTTTATACATGGCCCGGCAGCTGTCATGTTCATTAATCTTCACCGTGCGTCCTGTCCTGTCCACGCAGACCCATCATATCCAACCCATAAATCTCCCCTGCGCTCCAATGTTTCCATGCACAGCGCGTTTTAGCACGATCTATCTGAACACATTGTGCTTTGTTTTTCAGGTTCTCCGGAGAGGTCAGAGAGTACAGCTGGTCTTGCTGAGCTGGTGGTTGCATCCAGGAGGCTGAGGACCGCGTACAGCAACACGCAGCTCCTGGAGCTGGAGAAGGAGTTTCATTTTAACAGATACCTGTGCAGACCCAGGCGGGTGGAGATAGCCGCGCTGTTGGATTTGACGGAGAAGCAGGTGAAGGTATGGTTTCAAAACAGGCGGATGAAACACAAAAGGCAGAACCAGTGTAAGGAGAACAGGAACAGCGACGGGGAGTATCCATCGGGCGTAAATGAGGAGTTTGAGCCGGTTAAGGAGAGCGGCGAAGGCGGCGCGCCCATCCAGAGGGAGCGTTACAGTTTCCACCACAACACCCTGATTAACCAGCAGCCTCAAAACGGACACAATGGACAGAACCAGAAACATTTTACCAACCCAGCACCCATCTGCGAGTCAATAATAGGTCCGGACAATGCTCAGTCCCCCTGCCAGGGCGCCTCTTTGCAGGATTTTTACGTTTTCTCTCCCTTGGCTTCTTTTTCCTCGGATTCATCACTGGGTTCTCCACTTTCATCTTCGGAAACCTTCAACCTTTTCCCAGCGACTCTCCAAACAATGGAATTGCAAAATCTTTCCTGAAATCATGTCTGTTAATTTAAACTTAATCTCTTTAATTCAGTTTATATTGTGCGTGGAAAAAAATCCTGACAATAAGGTGAGTTAATAGATTTTTGCAACACGGGACTCTTTCAGGATATTTTTTATTAATGTAAGATTTTTTTTATATATTTCTTCAAATAAATATGTAAAATTATTCGAAAACCTTTTGTGTCATTTTGCAGAGCCTGTTGATTTTAGCTCAGCATATGCATGCGTCCTAAGAGGATATAGGTGCACGAGACGTGCCGAGTTAATCAGTAAAATAAAGAAAAAAAAATTGTTATTAATATGATTACGAATAATAAATTAGGCACAAACAGACCAAGTCAAGCTTTAAATTATTTCAAAATAAATTTTTTTGTAGCTTTACAGTGGTGCGTCTTTTTTTTTTTAAATGACTTAAATAGGAAGAGACTAAAGCAAATAAATCGAGAATGGCCTTGTGGGAGAGCAGGGCAAAAGTTGTGACTCCTGTTGGCTTTCTAATTAAAGTTTATTGCCTATAAAACTCACGGTGTCGAGGCCGCTTGTTTATAGCACTGCAACAGCTCCTATATATAAAAGAAAAATTAGCATACCGTGTTTATTGAGACCTTTAAAGATTTAAGGAAATATTAAGTACATATAGGTCAATGCAATCTTTTCACACATATTAATTAGGTCAAATGTTGGGTTAAATCAGCCATTGGCTAAATGTATTATTATTATTATTATTATTTATTGCTTTGTTTGTGATTTAACCATTATAAACTAAATCCACTGGAGGTCTAAATGTGTTTTTCCTATTTTTCCATACAAACATAGCATTCCTAAAAAGATTATTTTATTAAAATAAAGTATATTATAAAATGTATTAATAAAACCACTTATATTTAAAACAGTGTCAGTGTGTCTGACTCATTTGTTTAACTAAAAGCAGATTATTGTGTTTTCTTTTGGAAATATTGCACAAGAGAGTTCTGACTGAATATTGCTGGATGAGCTGATTGCGATTCAGTTTGCTTCTTCAGCTGATTCTACTTTGAATTAGCTGAGGAGAGAAAAGCAAAAACATATGCCTAATGATGACTGTTTAGGAGATCACTGGGATCCACAACATCTGAATGAGTGTTTACAGGATGAATAAATTACACCAGATTCAGCTCAAGAACCAACCTGCACTGAGATGGAGGACATCCAGGCCAGCAGGGGGCCCACATGCTGTTTGATCTAAAAAAATAATACTATTGATGCCAATGCTTTGGGTTTGAGTATAACATCCATCAGTTACTGTTTTATATTTGAATAATTTCATAGATTCACCAAATATTATTTATTATAATGTGTCAAGTTTAATCATTTCTGCTGTATGCTAGTTTGTTGGGGTCAAATTTTATGTTGGAGCTCTAAATGAATTGCTTGATGATTAATTGAATCAATTTATTTAACTTTCCATAATTATAAACTTAATATAATAGAATGAATCAACTTGATTAAATTATGTCTTACCAATTAAAAGTAATTTAAATTAGATCTGCTTTCTTTTCATAGTGTGAAAATGGAAACCATTCCAATTAAATAAACGATGGTATAAGTGGTGCTAATCTGTTAAAAGACTGGCTTAGCTGAAATCCTGGATCAGCAATAAAAGACACATTCATTTTAACTATTTCTACTCATCAAACTGTTGCTAAAACCTTGATTAAACACTTAAGTTACAAGCTGTGAGACATTTACATGGTAATCTGTCTGAATAATTTTGCAGTATGTAATGCAAAAAGAGGAAACCTGCAAGAGGCAGTTTCTGAGATAACAGGCAAGCTTTATGGGGAAACCAGATACATCCCTGCCTCCATGAATGCACACACACAGAAACTGACAGGGGTGATAGGTCAAGCTGGCTCTCCTCTCCTCTTCCAGCAAGGAGAAACTCCTGCCAGGTCAGGAGGGGGTCAGGTTTTAAATGACGGCATGGCTCATAAAAAATACATTAGCAGCTAAACAGGAAGTAAGTTTGTAAGTTCTTGGGAAATCCAACAACAGGTATGGTTAAAGACCTTAGGAGATCATCCATAATGAAGGTTTGATACATATTTTCCTAATATAAAACTCATAGAGATCATTCAGAACAGTCTTCATCTAGCATTTTAATAATGCTTCATTTTGAAGACAACCTTTACATTTCTTCACAAAAGATGAAAAATATGATAGGGCAACTAATCATATAGTACATTTATCATAACTTTTAACAGGCATTTATTTACATTACCCTGATATTTTAGAAGGTCCTCAAAGTGGTAATTCAGTTAAGTCAAATATTTGTTTTTCCATATTTTTTGAAAATGTCTGGGATTCATTATTTCATTTGTCTCAGACAGATCAGCAATTGGTTGATGTATTCTGAACCTTTGGTTCATATGGTGTGTTATTCATCTTTACATTTCTGTCAACTCTGCCATCTGAGAAGATCAATGTATTTCAGAAGAAAGCTTGTTTGTCAGCAGCATGAGATGATAAACACCTGCAAGAACAGTAAAATTAGTCAAAATTGGAACGACAACTCTAACCTCTCTATCACCTTTCTCATAAACAAGAAGCTTTACAGTTCAAACCTATACTGTTTGAAGATGGAAAAACAAATAAAGGATATTGTCATAAACACCTCCAATGAATCAGAAGGCACAAGTTTCACACTGCAAAAACCATCTAGAATTAAGTAAAACAATTCTTAAATTGAGTGTATTTGCCCTTAATCTGAGTAGATAAATAAGATGATTTGCTAATTAAATTAGTATTTTACTCCTAAAACAAGATAATTAAATAATATGCACTTGAAATAAATTTTATTTTAAAAGTAAATTGTCTTGTTCCATTGGCAAAGTATCTCAATTACCTCATCAATTCAAGAAAATAATGCACTTAATGTAAGCAAAAATTACTCATTTAGATTTTCATTTTTGCAGTGCACTTGGTAAAAGGTGAGATGGATATTCATTCCTCCTCTACTCCAACACTTAAGAGCAACCAATTGCCTAAAAAATTCCTCCAATTAGAATATTAAACGACCTGTGTATATTTAATCTCTTAAACTGTATGGCTATTTGCACAACTGCAAACGTTTTTTTTATTTTTACAAAACCAATGAACACCAAAAAAGAGAGGATGTTTATGAAATCTAAAGTAATATCATAAACTGTTCATGTTGAAAATCTGAAAATGTTCACTAAATAAATAAATTAATAAAAGTATGGTAAAAACCTTATAAGAATGTCTAAATTTTCAAGA